TATATATATATATATATATATGTATATATATATATATATATATGTATATATATATATAGGAAAATTATTTTTGTTTGTGCTAAAAAGTAGATCTGTGGTTTATAATTTTTTTTAAACTAAGAAATGTAGACGTGGAAGTGTATTTATATGTTGAAAACTATAGATCTAGATGAAATACTACATACAAGAACAGTTTAAATGTTAGATCTTTTTTTTAAATATTGTGTGAGTATTGTAGAATAAAAGTTGACAATATTATTGTTTTTTTTTTTGTTGAATGTATTATGAATGATTGTATCCAATATTGATGATAATTCCGTAGAGTAATGTGCATTAATATAATAATGCAAAAAATATAACATTTATATCTTAATATGTTTAATGAATAAAATGTTAAATTCAACGAAGCTAAATTTTTTACATTCATATAGATTTGAAGAAATTATAAAAGTATGAACTCGCATAAACATGAAATTTATACTTTCAGAGGAGCAAATTAGCACATCGATTAATGCATTGATTTCTAACGTAATTCTATTTCATAATTTGACTTTATTTTAGGTTAATTAAATTAAATTTATCTAGATGATATGGCCTATCAAAGAAGGTGTTCCTTATTATTCTGATGTTCTGGTTCAATTTGCTTGGTTTTTGGTTTAGCTAACCAATGGATTTCAGCAAGTTTTAATGATAGATCTATCGATTCTATAGGTTGCAATTTTTTCGATAAGTTTTAATTATAATTTTAAATATGGGATAGAAAGATATTGTATGCATTGGCCCTAGTTTGACTTAGCTAAAATCAGACATCTTATTTAAAGTGTTTCTTTGAACGCAAAAAATTAGTGGAGATGATGAAATACCTTTTTCTGTTTATTTTGTTATTATGATTGTGGTGTTAACTATGTTTCAATGTTAAACTATTAAAACAATTATTTTATTATGATTAACTCTAAATTTAAATTAGCATAACTTTTTATCCTATAATGGTTTAGAGAAAATCCTACAAATTTAAACTGCTCATCATTTTCTATTTTTAACTATTTATTAGGCACTAATCCGTTCACTGTAAAAAAATTTAATGTATATTTAATAGTTAAATTTTTTATATCATGAATGTTAGATGAGTATATGTTTATCTACGGTTATAATCAGTCAATTAAACTTGCATTCATTTCAGTTTACACTTTCATTATAAAAAGAAGGATGTTGAGACACTCTACTTCCCCGTTGTTATTGTATGGGGATCAACTAATGATTGATGATCACTTTGCCCCAACATATCTTGCTGCGCGAAATAGACCGGTGCAAATACCAATGAACACAAACTTAGAACAATTAAAATCATTAGTTGTTAGAGCCATAAAGTTAGATTCAACTAATGTTAGGGAAAATTAATTTGTCAGCTTTAGTTGGAGATGCGTTCATTGAATCATACATTAATGATGATGAGATCTATGAAGTTGTTATGCATCTTGCCTCCACTCAATTTTTTATTGTTTATATTGAGGTTTAAGAGATTGAAGAGGTTAGTGCTCCTCAATGCCATGAAGAGAATAATATAATATGTGATACAAAGAAGAACATAAATTTTTCTTTGGAGTTTAAACAACATATTAATTATCTAATTCAGAGATTTATGGGAGAATTCTTTACACATAAGTATAGCATATGAGATATAGTTATGTTTTTTTTTTTAATTTCTTATGTTATAAGTTGACTTACATATATTTGAAGTATGTTTTGGGCAGGTTAACAGAAACTCGTAGGGGTGTGGAAATCAAATTAAGCATTCACAGCTAGAATTTATAATTGTTGATGGTTATGTAACAATGAGCAACAGCACAATTGATGAGTCCAGTAATAATTTAGATGATACTGAATTGGAATATGGAGGGTTTGGGTTAGAATGTCAGTCTGTAGCATATAAACTCAGAAGGGATTATTATGCAAGGACTACAAACACTGTCGATAGAATGGTTAGCATGAACAAATTTGAGGGTATATGCATGAATGTTGAAGAGAAATAATGAGCTGAATTTTGATGATGCAACGGGGATAGCAAGGACAGCTCACATAGTTGAGATATCATATGAAACATTAGAAAGGATGTGTTATCCAAGAAAATAAGATCTACAATTTATGCTTATGGGGTGTTCTATAAAGAATAATGTTGAATTTTAA